ATAACACAATAAATGTTTTCATTTTTCTTTCTATCAGCTGCAACAAGCTTAGACTTCAACKTTTGGATTGGAGCTCCTAAAACTTACTTAAACTTTGCGCCCGACCCACAGCCCAGTACCAGCTGCGTGTCTATGAGAGCCTTGGGTAAATACCAATGGAAGAAAGCCGAGTGTCAGAAGAAGATGGAGTTTATCTGCAGTAAACCGGTTTAAAAGCACAGCACAACACTATATTAATAGCGGTAGRTCTACAGCTAAAGTAATCAAGACATATTCATAGCGGCCATAAAGTGTTAGTAATTATGACTTCCTAGCATAACACTATTCTCTACTTTCACATCCCCATAATGCCTTGCCGCCGCTATTAGTGTCGTCACCCAACGCTAGAGTGAGCGTTGCGTGACGACACTAATAGTTGCGCGATCTTGTTTGCCGCATTAATACGCCTAAAGAAATTAACAGCACTTTGCTTGGTATGTAGTATTTATGTAAGTGAATAAATCGAATGTAAAAGCAGTAACTAGTCGATTTGTCATGTTCTTATATCAAAGTGTTTAAAAATGCAACAATTCATGCAGATGCAATAATGAAAATTGTAGTGATGTTCAAATGCCAATAAAGCGCGAAAAGCCACGAGGAATTAGGACCACTTCAGTCACGTGTCATTTCATCGATGTTGATGACACTGATGATGGTGATGATGAGGATGGTGATGATGAGGATGGTGATGATGATGGTGATGATGAGGATGGTGATAATGGTGATGATGATGGTGATAGAAAAGATAATGATGATGTTGATGATGATGATATTAGTATTTGGTCAGTAATCAAACAAAAAACATTAAAAAAAGCTTTTCATGCACAAAATGGCGTTTTATAGCGTACGAAATAAAAAATAAAGATTTCCGCACAGTGGCTTTTCATCCACTGAAAAAGCGAAAGCAAAGAAAAACCTTCCGAACACAGGACAGAACCAAGAAGCAACTCTATTCACATACGAAACAAACAGAAAACASAAGAAAAAACACGAATAAAATCAAGTTAGTATTTAATTATCATTTTATATTAGAATTTCAATAAAATTCCTTTAAATTTCGTCCTAAAAAGATCGCCTATTTAGGTATTTACAAACGTATTTTACATTTTACAGTTATAATATAAATTACAAAGTTGTATTTTCTAAGAATCAATATGATCATATGAAAATGACATCACTTGAAGTAGATATAGCATATACAGAATTATTGTGTCTGTATCTCACATTCATAATCAAAACAAATTATTGAAAACTAAAATTTTTTTTACATTTTTGTGTTAGATATTCGTCGTACATGTGTTTAAGATGTTTTTGTATTTAAATATTTCAGAAATATATGAAACAAATATGAAAAAAATGTACAAAATGTTGTTCACTACATGAAAGACTTCAAAAACAAGACTAGTTACATTACAAAAGTTTAAAAAACCTTCAAAGTATTWACAGATGTATGGGATATGAATAGTTTAGATTCTTTTGAACGAATGGGGGGAAATGTTATGGTCATTTATCTTGCGTGACTCAATCGTAACGCGATCTAGTTGAATCCATTCTTAACCAATAAGAATGCTGTCTCTGCTTCTTGAGTTAACGGAAAATAAGCACATGACTYGATTACCGTCCAATCAAATGGCTGTAAATTATCACATGATGAATATGGTCAAATGAGATTCATTGCCTTTGTACATTASATGACTTTGGTTGGACAAATCATGGCACGCAGCGTCGGAAGTCACACCAGATTTCTGATCATGTGATTTTGGACCAATCACAGCAATTTTTTAAGTCAAAGTTATGTCATTTGATGTCACGCCAGATTTCTGATCATGTGATTTTGGACCAATTACAGCATTTTTTTTTCAAAACTTTTTGTCATGAATTGTCCAGTGGCTTTAGACGTCGTGATACACCAGACGTTTATGAGCCAATCACAGCACTGTCACACAATTTTCTTWAAATTATTGCGTTACTCTGGTGAACAAGGGATGTTTGAGTAATTCCAGTGCAGGTGGCCGGTCGTCGGGTTTATACTCTAGACATCGCAAGAGAACATCCCTGACTGCTGGATTTAGATACTCTGGGATCTCTGGCGGTGCTGTAGCACAAGCGATCTGAGTAGAGAAATAGCAACGCCGCGATAAGATAACTGCCAAAATCATTTCACTTGGCAAGACTGTTGGTCTTGTGATATAAAATACACTATGTTTATCACTACAACTACTATTGCAGAAATGAATGGGAAGCGGCTTGCTAGTGGACTACTTCCCTGATGCTTCGGCTAGTTGAACATTTTCTTGCGTAATTCGTACACCCAGAAGGAATTAATCGCCGTCAGGTCCGAAGTCCATACTACGCCCCAGCTCTGCGGATGTCTCTGGGGGTATGGCACAGTGAAATCAAAGTTTTGGAATTTGTCAGAAATGTAGTCGATGTACTAGGGTTCGAATCCCACCAAATTCAGATGCGATTTAAAACTCTTTTTTGTTCCTTCAAATTTTTCATTGGAATCGTCGACTTTTTTTTTAGAAGGAGTGACTGCTTGAGTCCGTGATTAACTAGTTTGAAATTAGATAGATAGAAGTAATTCTTACCTTGAAAATGAGTGCAAGGTGATTTGAGTGTTCATGAGCATTCCAAGGTGGCTTTCCTGTCGCCATTTCTATTACCAAGCATCCTACACTCCACACATCACAGCTTCTGCCATAGCTCTCTCCTCTCAGCACCTGAYGGAAAAAAACAAACAAATAATGAGATTAAGAGAGGTTTTGGCGTTTATCCGTCCATCTGTCCAAACATCTAAATATCTACCCATCCTAAATGTTTATGCGCTACATTCAATCATCCTTGCTTGCTTGCTTGCTTGCTTGCTTGCTTCCACCCACCCACCCACCCACCCACCCACTCATCAACCCATCTCTACACACCCACCCACCCATCCATTGATACTTTAAACAATATTTCTATATTATGTACCTCAGGGGCCATGAATGCTATGGTGCCTAGCAACTGGCCTTGGAACTCCCCAGCCCCTGTGATCTGAGTTGCCAACCGTGCYGCGGCTCCAAAATCAGCTATTCGTATTTCCTGTCCTGTTGAATCAACTAGTATATTGGCACCTAGAAAGTAAACAAAGTGTTTAGGTCCATGATGATCGATGGCTGAATACAACAGAAAAACGAAATCATAAGCTATGTCATGGGATACCTGTGCATTCGCGTGACTAACCACATTGAACACCTAGTATCTGTCACAAGTTTGTGTTTGTTTAACGTGTTGAATCAWTTTTAACAAACTTTAAAATCTCCACCCCCCTCCCCCTCCTCCCAGGGGGTCTCAGGCACCCCAGGAAACGCCCATGCGTATATACTGTACATGGCTTATATATCTTACGTAACAGACTAAGATAGATATCCTGACTTTATTGAACACACGAAGGAGCAAGAAAGTCTTTACCTTTTATGTCTCTGTGAATGACTTGGTTTTGATGCAAGTATGCAACTCCTTGAAGAATCTGTCTTGTGTAACGGATGAGAGTGTTTTCTTCAAAAGAGCCATACTTGGATAAGAGAACAGATATAGACCCTCCTGCGAAAATAATACGTACTAGAAGTAAGAATTGAGTAGTATATGGTGATAATGATCATGATTACACAGATTATCTTAGTAATTGTAATGGTGGTGAAAATGATTGTTGATGATGATGATGGGGTGATGGTGAATGATAGTGATGATGAATATGATGATGGTAGTGGATGGTGATGGTGATGGATGATGATGATGGCGATGAATATAAAGATCAACACCTATATTATATCGTACCTGCCATCCATTCTAGGAAGATATTGAAGTGTCCAGTATGTTTTGTAGCTCCCAGACACTTGATTAAATGAGGGTGCTGTAGCTTGCCGATGATAGTTATCTCATCCAAGATGGACTGGCACACCTTCTCTTGCTCTGGCTTTGAATTGCGACAGAAAGATACCTAAACGAACAACAAAACAATGCCTTTTTTGTATTGTATTGTTGGAAGTAGGGGGGTTATAAACCAGCCTTGTATCTCGCGTTTATCGCGTTGTTAACACAAAAGCTTGTAGCTAAAAATTAAGCAATAGAACGAAAACGTTTTCGGCTAATTTGCTCATAAACTAAGAGCATGCGCAGACTAACGTTTTTTTGGTACCAATTGTGGAGTTCTCGCTTTTAAGCCTTTATTCACGTGACATCAACCTAACAAATAAGATTCCACCATGAGTGTTTACCTGTTTTACCGCCATTAATGCACCGGTGGTAACATCTCGTGCAGCATAACACGAAGAAAAAGCTCCAGTACCAAGCAATTCGCCTTTCTTCCAGTGAATATTCTCGAGATAAAGGTGTTTGGTATTTACTGCTTTTTCTATCGACTGCGAAAAGAATTGAAATCAGTAGTGGAAAAGCTACATTTAATTTATTAACCAAGACTTCTACCATTTTACCAGGAATTGAAACAAATGTTTGAAGACAATAGAGTGTAACTCTAGTATCTGCTATTCTACATCCCCCTTGTTATATCCTGACCATTTCTACTAGCTTTACACCAATATAAACCTCAATTATTCAAAAAGTACTCTGATATGATYGTGGTCAGACGTTTGTCATTCTTTGGCGTCAAAGTCATTTTATAGCTAAGAATAAGAAATATATGGTTAACCAATAATGAAGGAATATGCATTTGAATTTATAAATAGTTARCCAATCAGAAAACAGAATGTATATTCAACTTTTTCATGTCCACATTCAAAAACACAAGGTGCAATGTCCCAGCCCAAGAGAGYCTTCCCTTGGGCTTTGAAGCATGAAGAATGGACTACAATCCTACCTCCGGTTGAGTATAAACAATGACCATTTCATCTTCTTCGACACTGGGTCTCAGACTCGGTATAGCATCTGGTCCTCGCGGCAGAACTGATACTTCCATTGCTTTGGCAACAGCCTCAGCCTCCTCTTCTTCAATCATTTTCTGACACTTGTTATCCATAAYGACCTTGACAGGGGGTAACCTTGGAGACTCGCCGTCAGATCTTGACCAATCTAGAGATTCAAGCTCCCTAGTGGGTGAAGATGGTGGACTTGGCAAATTTAGACATAAAAAGTTTGGTCTTTGAAGAGATTCTACTATAGATTGTAAAAGTTCTGCTTCAGATAGATGGTCGTTGTCTTCCCTCAAGTGTGATGGGCCGCCTTCCACTCTTTGAGTAGGGTACAACTGACTAGATCCTTCAGAAGAGCTTGACTCTCCTTGATCTGTGAGGGCATAGCTTACATCACTTAGAGGGCTGCTTTCCCCATCACTAGCTTCTGGATTGTTCCTCTTTGATAATGTTGCTAGTYGTCGCTGTAATATACTTCTCTGAGAAGGCTTAAGTCGAGATACTAGCTTCTTGATATGAATAAAGGCCGAAGGACAAGATGCAGCTAAACTTGTACAGCAAATCAATATTGAAATAGCAAGCTTAGAGACTGAACCATGTGAGCACTGTCCAGCAAGAATAGCGAACCGCAACACAGACATCAACCTCGTTATATTGTCACTATATAACTCATCACCATCGACATGATCACCTTCCTGGACAATAACACCAACACTGTTATCTATAGATATTTCGGGACTGTCTGGTCCTAGTCTAAAAGAGTCTGTGTATTCTTCTATTAACTTGCGTAGAAAGTACAACCGTCCAAGCCACCAAGGCCAGGTAGCGTATTCATGCGCAGTAGTAAGTATGCATGTCAGCATGAAGCYGAGACCGCCCAGTGGTTGGTTGTCATTGTGCTCCAGCAATCGCCCTAGTGCCAGATCACCTGACTGGTCTTTACACATCTCTAGAAGCACTTTGTTTGACAAGGCRCTGATTCGTCTGTTGARATTAAGGAGAAAAGGATTATGGGTCTTAGRTATACATTATGAAGAGGTTAAATTCATTTTTCACTATTCTCTTCCAGATCACCATCATCATCACTATCATCATTATCACCACCACCACCATCATCATCATCGTCATCATCACAATCAACATCACACCATTATCATCATCATCATCGTCACTATCATCACCACCACCATCATCACCATCATCATCATCATCATACAATTTGCATCATCATCATCATCAACAAACAATTTGTGTAGTGGACACCTATATCAGTATCTCCCAGCAATACCTGTTGCCATCAGAACACTTTGCCATAATGGCCTCCACCACAGGGCGTAACAGCATCTGTAGCTGTGCTTTCTCTTCACTGGTTGAGTACTTAGAATGGCCAAGCATGACTCGTAACGTTCTCTGAATAATGCCAAGAAAAAGTGAATGYCAAAAACTGAGTACTGTACATACACTAGAGCTATTGCTTTACAATAAATACTGGGTTTCTCCCTTGATTCAAGGCTTTTTCTCTAGGTTTTCTAACTTTTCCTTCACTCCACAATACCTAACAAGCTAAAGGGCAGTAATTTAATGGGTGGCTTAGTGAAAYCCTGACTTTGATCAGCCAAGAGGTTCCAGRGCATCAATAAAATCTGAAGGTAGAGTATAGTCAAACAAGTAATATTAACTTACAAGAGCTGCAACATAAACTTTGTAAACTGGATCACCACACATCATGGACAGGAGAGAACAGCAAGCTTCTAGAGCAGACATGGATGTAGACCCTCCTTCATCACTAGTTAGAGTAGTTACTAAATCCTTGCTGAGACGACGTAAGGCAGTTTCTCTTATGTTCCACTCACGAGAAAACAGACAAGACACCACACTCTCTCCAAATGCCTGTGAAAAATAAGAATTTTATCAAAAAGAGGTTTACAATGGTGCTATTTTATGACTCATTGTATACAGCACTGTTGCCCAGAATTGATGACATCTATTAATTACAATATACAAGAATATTTTTCATCCAAACACAATACTTCACCACATCACAGGGGGACATCTAGGGAATGGATGCTGAAGGTGTTGCCCTTTTCCCTAGCCCGAGATGAGCTGATATCTACTATAATATTATTAGTGACTGAGTTTGTGAATTTCCTGATTCTGAGTGGTGCATCCCTTCCTAAACAATCCTTAATCCACCAATGAAACAGGAACATCACAGTTGAGGCACGGCATGTCYACACCATGCATTTTTTATGATCATACTAATTTTACTTGACATTAAACACACCCTCACTCAATCTATCACTTTCAACTAAGTTCTTTACACCTAAAATACCTAAAATACAACTTACTTGTACCCAGGGTCTTGCAACATCTATCTGTTCAGAGGGGATTGGGTTAGAGTGTGGTAGTGTGATGACCTCTTCTGGACCAAGAGGTGTTGGTACATTAGGTGAGACTGTTCTACTCGGCGACAGGGGTGAGAGAATTTGAGGTGATCTGGAACACACAATATGGTAGAAATAAAAGCTTTTGAGCCACTTATTCAACAGGCAGGTAGAAAGTCGTACACATATATACAATATATAAAATCACTCACTCATACTACTAACGTATTGTACAGTACCTGTTGCTAAGGAAAGGTGCAACCTCTGGAGGAAGGATTCTACGGCAGAGTGGACAGTTGAGTCTTTCTTTCCTGCTCTTGCATTCAGCAGCCCCTAAAGAATGAAGGAAAAAGAAAGAGATAAAGGAAAATCAAAATAATAAATTAACACATGAAATAAAGTCTGACCCCGTTGACYTGCACCACTGCTGTAACTGAGTAATTCGATAAATTGGAAAATGAAGAGTAAACAAATGAATAAATTGAATTATAGAAGGTAGTAAGAACTCACATATTTCTATGCAGTGTTGGTGAAGTCTGTTGTTGCAGCCTCCCTTACAACACGTCAAGCTCTCTCCCTCAACCATCTCTAGTAGACATATTGGACAGACTTCTTCTTCATCTTTAGTACTTCCAGTAGATGACGTGGAGGATGTGGATGAACTTAGACCACTAGGGGAGGGTGGGGGAGTTGATCGCTTGGGAGATCTGCCTCTACCTTTGACAAGCCTGGAGTTGACTCTTGCATGGAATTTTGAAAACAGTTCTTCAACCTGAAAAAAAAAAAAAGGGACATAAGTACTGGGTCTGGTGGAAGTGGGCCTATGTAAAAACTGATTTTTTTGGGTGATCAAAAAAAAACTATCTTCTGATAATGGTGATTGTTTAACAGATCAAAAACAGTTTTCCGTGTTTGATACTCCGATCAAAACACGCGGGATGTTGAGAGAACATGAGAGGAGCGTAGGAAACCACAACACATAGCGGAGTGGTTTCCTGCTTCTYGAGYGTTCTCCCAACATCCCAAGTGTTTTGATCAGAGTATCAAACACAGAAAACTGTTTTTGATTTGTTTTATAAAATAACAAACGCGCGAAAAGATCGAAAAAAAGCAAAGTCTAAGTAAATTCTCCCTACGTGCAGTCTTATTCAAACTGACCAATGAGCGCGACAATAGATTAAAAATGATGGTAGTGTGTATTGATACTCTCAKCAAACATGGTTTTCGACCAATCATAACGCGTGTAGTATCCCAATTATTTTATAATATGTTGTCAAAATAACTAGACAATTGCTATTAAATTTGGCTTTATTCAACTTAAACTATTCTAACTACAAGGGAAGATAGAAAAAACAAACATGGCTGCCAACAGTAAAACTGAGCAAAGAGCAGCTGACTTCTCAATGGCTTAATCTATACAGGTGGTGGTGAAGGTGACTAATTCTGATGAAGGCAATGATGATGATGAGTATGACCAATGACAATGGTATTAATGAAGAAGATGTTAACGATGTTTTTACATACTTTTAAGTAATATAAAACAGACTTTCAACCACTAACCTCAAAATTCTTCAGGTCATTGTTCCACAAAAGAGGATCATTTTCTTTGACTTTAAAAACTCTCAACATAACGAATAAGAGATGAACACAGAAGGGCTTTCCACACATGCATGTCTAGGAAATAACACAAATGCTTGAAAAATCCCTCCCATACCATGACTGATATTGAGTTAAAAATATCTTTCAAAACAACCATTCCATTCCGGGGTGGATCCAGGATTGGTAAAGGGGTTGACTTGTCACCCCCCTTCTGCTAAAATTTCTCAGTATTATCCTCAGTAAGTCACCCCCTTTTCCTCGCATTCCTGGTAAAACCTTAGGTAAAACCCCCTTCTAAAACTCCTCGATCCACCACTTCCATTGTGATAAGTAAGATTAATATACATATCCTATGATAAGGTAACAGTAAATGCTTCATTATATGATATACAGTACATAGTACATTTTATTTACTATAATAATATTATACTACATTAATTAGAGTCTTTCACTCTGGCATAACCTTTGTAACCCCCCTTCTAAAACTCCTCAATCCACCACTTTCATTGTGATAAGTAAGATTAATATACATATCCTATGATAAGGTAACAGTAAATGGCTCATTATACATTTTATTATACTACATTAATTAGAGACTTTTACTCTGGCATAACCAGACTGTAGCTTACTAGTAGAACATTCAACTAAGATGTGGAAGAGAAGGTCAAGCCAGTTCCATTCCCATCATAAACTCACTTTCCAACAACAGTCAAAATGGTTTACTTACTAAGAGTTTTCGAGGCTTAAATTATCTAATTACCTGTGGTCCAATAATGACTTTAAACTTGTGACTGGGTGAGTCTCCCCCTATCAAGAAAGAATTGGGTCCGACTTGTTGTAACAGGTATAATCTAGCTCGGGTGGCTTTTTCAATTCTTCTTTTAAATTCTGGAGAAGCTTCAGATAATGGAGATGAACTTCTGGAACAACCAGCATTGAATGAGCTGGATGGTGAGGTTGTGCGTCGCTTTGGTGGTGGAGAGGGTTGCTTAGCTGACTAAAAAAAAGGAATTCATTTGTTTATAATTTTAAACTATTTCATCCATTCTTTGCCGTTACAATAAACTAAATAAAAAGAGTAAAGATATGGAAAGAATGACATCATGAACAGCTAGGAAGCAGAAAACACATAGATGTGTTATTATAAGAGGAACACAGTTTCTACAAGTCTTTAAAATTAAGTGAAAAACAAACAAACAAACAAAAACAATTGAAAAAAATTTAATCTGAAAAGAAGTGGGAAATRGATGGAATGGTCTGCAGAAGGAAAGATTGTCTTAAACTGTATCAAAACACAACAAGATTCATAAAGATAGTGGAAATAATAAACAACTTTTAGATTRACTTACTGTTGAGGCTGTTGCTTGAGGAAAAATCTGTTTGGGAGCTGAGCCAGGTGAAAGAGGTCTTGCAACCTAGAGAAAGATAATATTAGAAATTGAATATACTGCAATACACATTTATAAGACAAAATACTAATACTGCAGCTTTAACTGTCATTATAGACAATTTATTGATGGAGCTTGATAAAAGTACACTTGAGTTTTTAGTTTTCAAGGACTGAGCAAAAGACTTCATGTTGCAACTAGTTTATAATAATAAATCTAACTTGTTTCTACTGTAGCATATTGTTATGGCTGCGTCATACTCCTCAGTGACAGTCATCAGAACAGTATCCCAATTACAGCATTTGTAGGATAATATTTCCAGGCAGATATTGATTTTTGATTGATAGATGTCAATGATTGGTAAGAGCTATATTGTAAATGTTAACCCATGAAGAAAGGACTGGAAAGTTAAATATGAATAACATTGTATACACCCTAAGGTGACACAGAAAAACATTATACTTGTATGCGATGATGCAAGACCTTCACATGTGCTTTCGTTTGAAACATGACTAATACTCGATTTATTAACCAAAAACTAATTGGTCATAAAAAAAAATAAATAAAAGTATCGATTCTTCTCACAGAAGGAAATGAAGTGATAACAGTAGTTGTAGTCAACAATAAAGTATAGAGAGTGCAGGAAAAATAATGCAAATTTGTACAAAATACATTAATCGATGTACTGTAGTTGGTGATTCAGCTGATTTTGAAACATGTTACCAATGAAACGTTTAAACTTCATTTAAATGGCTTTCCCTTGTTTACAATAACGGGGAAAATCCCTTAAAAGCTTGTGTTACTAGCAGATTGAAAGAACAAAGCTCTACCGAGGCAATCGAGGACAGTTTTTCGTCTTTTTTTCCCCTCGATAATGTTTTGTAAATTATTCACAACAGACCGTATTTATTGGTCACGCATCATTGCTGTTTATCGAAGACATTCCTATTTATCAAAGATCTAAGTATTATTATCCCTATAAAACCTTGATTACAAGCTCTACTAAATTATATATTGAGTGAAAATTATATTACAGATATGGTATTGTTGAAAAATTTCTATGCTATAATTATAACTCCGGAAGGAAAGAGAGTTATGCAGACAATCTTGTTACAGGTGAGTTTTGTTCGCGTGGGTTAGTTTTGAATTTACTACATTTGAGCGTTTAAAAATTCAATCTATATTGAATCAACACGTCAAGAATCCACAATCCATATTAAAAGACTAAATTTAAACCATCAAGGATGTTTTGATGGTGTTTCTTAGGGGTTGAATTGATTTTTTAGCGAGTATGTCGAGCTCACCATAGGTTGTGTTTTGCGTCTTTGAGTCGCGTCCTTGTCTTTTTTCCATATTGGTTGCGATTTGAGTTTTTCTTTTAAAAGAGCTTGTTCTTCTAGCATCGGYCTAAAAGACACACATTTATTCATCATACATAATAATATACCTGTTGTTTTAGRTGTGTTAATGTAATTCCGGGGAAAAAAACATAAACAGAAGTAGAAACTGCAGACTTACTTGGCGCTCTCGGTCATCTTGAACGAAGCTGGCTTTTTTTCTTGATCCGATTTCGAAGCTTCATTCTGATGTTTRCTTGCTTTCTTCCAGTTTGGAAGTATATTCTCAGTTGGGCTCTGAGTAGCCATAAATCCTAGTAAATATAATCCTAAAATAGATATTTTTTACTTGCTAAACTCATTGAACTCGTGATTTTCTCKAAGGAATTTTGAAACGTGTTTGGCGGGAGAACAAAGTCGAACGATGATGTCACCTGTAGCCAATCAAATCACAGAATCCTCGAAYAGGTTGTCCTAATTTGGAGGTGATTGACGCGGCAACCAATTGAGTGCAGGCTTTATGGTCGTCATGGCCATGGTTTGTACTGCAAACAGTAAAGAAAAGTTAATTTTGGATTTGATGTGCAGTGACTTCTGATTTGAATGGATTTTCACGTCAATTTGTGATATGATATCCTAAATTTATAACTCCAATCTCTACGGCTTCTAAAGAAAAGGATCGTGTGTGATTTGGACACGTCTTAAACGACTCATCTCAAATCATCTCCAAGAATGTACACTGTTTACCTATTCTGCTTACAGCTGTTTGATTTGTTTAAAATTCTTTAAAGAATACACATGGCTTCTCGTTGTATAAAGGCTTTGAACGATCTTGATGATATTTCTGACAAAGTATTTTACAAATACTCCAAGGTGAGATCCGTGAAATCTTGTACAAAGGTCGTTAGTTTCGTATTCAAAAGTGGCAAAGTGTGTCGAGTTTTTGTCTCTCAAATAAAGCTAATGTTATCGTCTTAATAACCAATTATATAAATATTCCTTGTATTCTCTCATTACTGGTTGTATTATTTTACTTATTATATTTGTGCCTTTGCTTTTTTAGAATCGTTTTAGATCAGAGATTCAAGGAAGAATAAAAGCTTCAAAGTCGAAAGTAGATCGCTCATTAGACCAAAACTCTCCTCCGAAATCTGAAAAAAGGTATTAAAATTTAATAGGTTTTTTCAATTAATATCATGGTGCTATTAAAAATAAAACAAAAGAGACTTGTTGTAAAGTTTTATGCTTAATGACTGAAGGGATGTGAATGTTTTATTTACAAGATTTAAATGATTTGTTTAGCCACTTTATTATTAGATTTTTGGTAGAAAAATAGTAGTAAAAATGCATGGTGGATTTTTGTTTTATTTTTCGTTCGTTTTAAAACGCTATTTTCTCGTTATGTTTTCTAAAATAAGAGATTTAGTAATGGGGCTGAAGTTTACGCTTGCATTGCCTGTTGTTAAAGAGACAGAAGGAATTCAATATCTGGCTTAATGTTAATCCAATATGTCAACAATATAATGTAACTTCTCATGAAAGAAAGCTAGCATCAATCCAATTTCAAAATCTCTTTTGCTCAGCGTTAGTCTCGGTTGGACGTTAAAATATTCAGCTATTCAACCAAAACTCGTGGCATTTTAATCAACTTGTATTGTTTCGTAGTACGTACATTGTACACATTTGTACACAATTGAGGCTAAGAGTGAGCAAAGGCGAACTCGAAATAGGAGCATTGAATATTTCCATTTTTCTTTTTCCTTATAATACTTCATTTTTGGATTTTGTCATTAATATTATTTCATCCATTTTTTGATCACCATTAATCATTGTCATCATCATCAGCAGTAACATAATCATCACCATCACGGCATATACATGATCATCTTCACAACCATCATCATCATATACATCAGTATTATCACCACCATCATCAWCAAGACCCTCTATGACCCTCTGAAAACCCTTTCAATTCCATTGGTTGTTTTGATCACTAAACATAAGAAGTTTTTATATTTTAGGAGAGGTAGTACTGGTAGTTTCTCATTAASCAGTAAAGAAAGTCCAGGTCCAAGTAAGTTTGGAAGATTGAAATTTTGTATTTATCTTAAGTTTTTCTATAGTTAACTTACTGATTACCTAACCTGATTTGCTGGCCATTTGATCAACTTTTAACATAATACATGACAGGCTTTTTTATATTATTTTACGTACACACATCAGCAAAAGCAAGAGGAACCAAGTCTGCTGCCAATCCTAAAATTTCGCACACACAAATCAAGGAACAAAAAGAAAGGGCCAAATCAACTAGTTATTGTAGAAACAGGGCTCACAAAACATTACTTAAGAAGAATGAACAGAAGAATGAAGAAATGAAAGAGAAATCAAGCCTTAAAGCTGTAGGGAAAACACCTTCTGTTTATGGAAAACATTACCAAGATGAAGAAAGGACCTGCACTGAAAGTTGGTTTAACTTTGATGATGGTGTAAAAATGGGTAGCATAGATTCGTTTGTCTGTGATGACAGGAATAGAAAGGCTTTATGCTATGGTCTGGATAAGAAGGAGGCCAAGSCAGTACCTAAACTGTTACGTCACAGGCTGGAAGTACGGATTGGTCARAATGGTGAAGTAAGAGATGACAATGGTGGAATCAAAAAGACAGATTCAAAAGATACTGGGGATAACAACATGTGCAAGAAAATGCCCTTGTCTTGGGAGGAACAACTGAATTGGGAAAATGTGAGCATTATGTTGCAAAGCTTTTGCATTTTTCTCTTTTGTTTGGTTTGTTCATATCAAACTAATGATTTTTTTTCAGGCTTGCATCAAGTCTACTCGATCTCCCTCACAACAGAAGACAGAAGATCAGGTAAGGTCACTTTGGCATAGGTTTTTGTCTCATTTTGGTAAATTTTCACTTTGTTYATTTTCCATCTACTCAGATTTACTCAGCATGTACTTCAACTTGGACATTTCTTATGAATCTAACCATCGTTATTACTTTTTTCCCACTTTCAAGAATGGCTCATATATTTTCGCTCCACATCTTGATTTAACTTTGTAAAAATAGTCCTGGTTTGAGTGCCCTCAGTTAATGAACTCTTTTAACTCTATACCTAGATTAGAGTAGATGTACTGTTACTGACTTTGTGGCTTGTTTTTAGGGTCTATGTGAGACACATCCAGTAATCTTCCATCCCCAAGAAAGTCCAACCACTTTGTCAAGTAGTCCATCTGACATCGGTGATACAACTGCAGCTTATCGCATGTTCTTAGAGAGAAGACTGCTGGTTAGTGATCGTGGTAACCTCATGTATGGTGGCAAATGTATCACRTCAGTTGAAATTGAGGATGCAAGGGATGAAATCAAGGAAAAGAAAGAACTAAAAATGATAAACACTTCACTAAAAGCATATGTTGTGGATGATGACAGAATGGATATGGGWGCTACTATTAGAAATATCCAGAATATTTATCCTCGGAGGTCTGCAGCCTCAAAATCAAGCTTAATGTTTAATCCAGAGAATGTTGTGGCCAACACCGAACCATCTGAATTCAATCAGGTTGAGAATATAGATGAAGTTAGTGATCGTGATAATACACAGTCTATAGATTCTGAAAGAATGGATAAGATAAACAAGAGAGTTAGCTTTAAAGATCAAACAGATCTAACTGAAAAGTATGATGGTTTAGGTGTTCAGGATACRAATGCAGAAGCAGTGCGAGATGCAAACATGCCAATCTCCCCATCAAAAGTGAGACCAAAGTCTTCGAAAGAAAGATCTAGAGTTTTGACAGATGTTAACGAAAAGCCAAAGAGACCGTACACCGCTCCTCCTTGTAGTCCAAGATTGACTCAAGATGAAGATTTCGAAAAAGAAATTGCAAGACCTTTTAACCTAGCTCCTGTTTGTGTGCYTACCTCACAAGTGAACTTGAGTGATCAAGATGAAAATAACGAAATCCCCTTACCAGACAATGGAGAGAATTTGACAACAGATAACGATAATGAACTGAAAGATATAAGTATCAAAGAYACTAATGAAAGCAAACCAGCCATGCGAGTTTCAGTTGCTTGTAAATCAGCACCTATGCRTGGTCGAACTCAAACACCTGAAGAACCTATATCGCGATCTCTTTCCTCCATGTCTACTCGAACAAACAAAAATAAGTATGTTCCAACACAACCTGTAGCAGTCTTAGCCGATTCTTCTTTGGAATTGCCTCCAAATTTACCTCCTGCAAAAGCTCTTGTTGAGTTGAGGAAGAAAATACGTGAAGATTTGGCAAAGGAAACTGCGGATCTGCAACTGGATATCCAACAGYTATACCTCAAGCATCATGCCAGCTCTTAAAATATTTTTTTTWWAATGAAAAATCAACAAAATTATTTTAATAGATTCTGGATTTTTGTCTGAAATACTTGTAAATAACACAAAAAGTTTTAAGAGATATTTTTTTAGCTTTGAATAATTTAAATTAAAAGCTTCATTTTAATGAAATTTTTGAATGTTGAAATGTTTGAAATAAAGTATTTTTTAAAATAAAAATATGAGTACGCAAATTGCCCCACATTCCCCCTTGCAAAAAATTAAACAGATGGATGATAAAGAATAGACAAATGCAAATGAGTCTGTAATCAAGAAACACAGCGGTAATTTGGAGCTCTAAAAGGGTCTATTCTCAGTCAGAATTCAAGTTGGTTAAAAATTAGATAGATTTTTTATCAACTAAAAAAGGGGGACATTTGAGAAAACTGATGTACYCTTAGGAAATTTTCTATATTCTTTATTGATTGTGCAAGACTGTACAGATAGTAAAAGATATTTAACAAAACTAAACAAAACTAGGTTAGAAGAGAGTGGCATGGTGACACGCCAGGTTTTAATTTGTCTTGCTAAAATACTTGTCACTCTTGCCTGGCTCTGGYACAATCTGAAGGGAAAGAGGAGATTTTAGTTAATTGTATTGTTTTTAGCAGGAAATATCCAAGAAAAGAAAAACTTTGGATTAATGGAAAGTATGGGACTCATTTCTATGAAGTTCATTTAGATTGTATCCAATACACCTAAAATAGTACTTGATAATAAATATTTAACAATTATTCACCAAAGGCGAAGTGAATATCGGGGAATATTTACCAAGACATGAGTCTTCGAGCGGCGAGGTAAATATTCTCTGATATTCACTGAGGCTGAGGCAAATRATTGTTTTAGTATAAATACACAGGTGATTCTTTCAAAAAAAATTTTAAAAAAGAAGATAAAAGACATTTTTTTCCAGTAACAGCAACAAAGCGGCGCTGGAGGTGATTATTGTGAGTTTCTTGACCAATCAGCACGTGAGATTTTCAATAATCACCTGTGTATTTTTTAACTAAACAGTATTATCGTGTGTTAGCAATCTAACTGAACACAGCCTATAGATATTAATATGACTTACTGTATCAGAACCTGGGCGCCATCCAGCAGGGCAGACTGAAAAATGTGAGAAAAAAWTMAATAAGATAAAGACAGACGGACATACGCAGTCATACATGAAATAAAACTAGTTTGTGCAATTTTCACTGCCTTTTATGTTCCTATGATTGAGACTATCCTGATGTTGCAAATTTTCTAATGCTTTAGTTTCCGTCAATCGAATCTTCAATGGTTTAAGTAATTTTTTGACAGAACAGATTAGCCAAAACCCAGACATCCCACAGAAACATCAAAGGTACTGTACACATTGGCAAGTGTTGGGCAAGTAAAGGTTTTGTGTAGGTGTGAAAATTTTGTCTATCTAGCTACCTTCTCCATGTTTGTCAGTAAACTGGAAYGCTTGGATCAGTCGTAGGGTCTCATCAACTGAACGGCCAACAGGWAGGTCATTGACAGTGATTTGACGTAGGATGCCTTTGTCATCAATAATAAACAAACCCCTGAAAGGATAATTATATGTATCTTAATCAAAACAAACTGAAGACAAAAAGAAACAGAAAAAAATCACGTTTGAATTTCTTATACAGAATTTTTTAAATCTAGATTCTCCTATTCCTCCTTTGTAACAGCATAGACACTTATTGTGGTAGAAGTGGAAGTATGTTTTAAATTTTGTGAAGGGTAGAAAAGCAGAGAACCCAGAGAAAAACCCTTGAAGCACAAGAGAATCAACAAGTACAGTAGAGGCTATGCATTGGTAGTACATCAGCAGTGGTTCTATTACCAATATTTTGTAAGAAATAAATGGGAAATCTCTCCGTTTTCTTTATACTGCTCTCATTCTATCATTTTCGTTTCCTTACTCTTTTTATGATGTAGCTGAAATACATTAAATGTGAATGGCCCATTTCAATACATTAAGTGTGAGTGGTCCAGAATCCCAAACCAATATTTTGTAAGAAATAGATGGGAAATATCACTGTTTTCTTTCTACTCCTCTCATTCTATCATTTTCTTTCTTTACTCTCTTTATGAGGTGGCTGAAATACGTTAAATGTGTATGGCCCAAGTACAAACCTTAGAGCAACACCTTGTTCTTCAAGAAGTACACCATAGTCTCTAGAGATTTGCTTTGTGAGGTCAGACAAGATTGGCACATTAATTGTACCAATACCTCCCTTCTTYCTTGGCACATTTGTCCTGATAAAAGGATTACAGATGTTATTCTTAGTTAAGTAGAATAAAGAGTGTGAAATACTGCACAGCTTTGTGTACTCAAACACCAAGTCCAATGGAAAAGTTTTGATCCATTATTTAGCACATTTTAAACTGGGTCAAGACATAAAAGATAGGAAAGCCATGAAAGGTGGTTTTAAAAACGTGACGATACTTGCCATCTGTCTAGCATTATGTAGGTTAGTAAAAACAAATTAAAATAAATCGAAAGGAAGGGGGTGGGGATGGGAGATCACAGTTGTCATTTTCATTTTGATAAACAATTCTCTAATACCTTTCTTTAAAATAATTTAAGTTCCTCTGTGGCAGAAGCAATCAGAAAAAAAATACTCTGACATTGCCATCCTCTCACTATTTTTCTCTCAGTCTACTTCAGTGGTGAATACATCAATAATAATCTTTTGTTAGTTCAATTCCCTCATCCCCCCCCCCCCCAAAAATTCTTATAGTCTACCTTTTCTCTTCTAAAGAGCAAATGCTGTCCCAGAAATATCTTCTTACTTACCAGGCCAAGTGGGAATACTGAGAATCAACTGAGCAAGCAATAACTTCACAGTTTATAGCCTTGAACTCCTCTACACGGTCACTAAATGCAATGATTTCAGTTGGGCACACAAAGGTACTGCATGTGGGAAAAAAAAAAATTATCATTATTATTACCACAATACATATCATAAAACCAAAAGGCCTACTTTCTTTAATATTGCCCTAAGAGTTCTTTATTGTTATCATATGAAATAAAGAATACAAAAATATAAATTTGATGCTCAATTTAAGTCAAAACATGAAGTTTTTAGGGATGAAACTGGTTTATTTGGATGAACGAACAGTGAAACAGCTGTCAATCTAACTGATAATTGTAGTAACCTGGGTGCAAGTTACATGACTCTGGAGTGTGGGACTCCTGGATCAGCCATGTTGTTTTACGAGTGTTGAGTTGTTCAAGAATAAAGCACTAGAATGTACTGTAGTCGAGTGCTACTTCATTATAATAATACAAGTTAAAAMTTCCTTCTGTGTATTGTTGGAAGTACAAATGAATACMAAGGACAAAAGATGGTTGTGGAAAAATCAAATATTATTGAATACTAAAATCAAATCAAATACTTTAAGACATTTCAGATAGCTGCTTCAAATGAGGTTGCATACACGTAAACGAACTCTAATATCAATGTAAAACACTGAAATAAATTTAAGGCAGTGGTTTTAAAAGTTCTCAAGATTTAATTAATATACTTTCATTTATTTATCTTCATTTGCATTCTGATTCTAACCGACGTCATTTGTTGAAAATGATCGTAAGAGGAAAGAAAAAACGAGAGGGAGAGAGAAAGAAGTAACAAAATAAAGAAAGAAAAGAAGAAAGACAAAAGGAAATGAATAACAACAAGCAACAGGAATACAATTTTTTCTAGCAATTCTTTAAGTCAATCCTTCTTAAATAAATAGCCCAGTGATAGAGAAGCAGAAAATGCAACTCCCATTTTATGTGTAGGCCATATGAAGGTCCAAAAATATAATAAACATATCACTGCAAGTGCATGATTCTCGTTCTCAGTTGTTTTATAAGAGTGTAAAATGAACACATGACTGTGTATTATAYATTTAATACTTTATTTATTYATGGATGAAAACRCGGGTGAAAAAGGAAAAGGAAATGAAGTCCCTACATGGTGCACGCACCTCATTTCCTTAAACATATAGAATTTTTTTTACATTTTAAAATAGAAATGTCTATAATTGCAAACTTCTGTAACGAGTAGCAATCAAGCTGCGATAAACATTACACTCGTTTAAAGCTGTAAATGCAGACAAGATGACAAAGATAATGAATATTTAACATCAAGTGCTTTGTCGATGGTAAAACTTGGAGACCGTTGTGTTTCTATAGTCTGGTGTGGTTTTTTTTTTTGACTATTGACCATAATCCCTCTTTTTAAGTAAAACCAATACTACTAATTATTTATGAAAAAAAATTGATTTTATAAAACTGCAAGATAAATTGATATTTGAGGGTTAAAATGAACATTGGAAAGTCGGTCATGCACCGATCATGAAAATGGAATAAAATCCTGACACTACTAATGAACATGGTCATTAAGCACTTTTCATTTGCTATATCCTGTTTTGATTCCTACTATTCCAGTTTTYTTCAKTATACAAATTGCTGATATTTTACTTATGGATTAAAATCATTTTGACTATCTTGAAGGGGAAAAAATATTAATTTCAGATATGCTGCATTTAATTCATTTCAATTAATCTTACTTAATTTTTTTTTTTTTTTTTTTAAATATTTTTTTGCAGTTTTACTAAAAGAGAATCTGATTTTACAAATTTGAAACCTACCATGCTCCCACACCTCCCTCCCCCAGAAATCCGCAAAATCATCTGACAACTGAGAAAGGAGTTTAGACACAGAATACACAAAGTATACGAGGGATGGTCAACTTCTGAAGAAACTAAGATGAGAAAACTAGTTCACCTAACAATTGTTTAGCAACAAAAGATTTCCTAAAACAATCGCAATTTTTAAACGCCTAAAAGTTTTATGAATGGTTTAAATAAACGGAGGTTTGAATAGAGCAATGGTTTCGGAAAGAAATTTTTAGTCCTGGCCATTGATTGCTTTGACAACAAACGAATTTTACGAATCGAACATTCAATCGAAATGTATTGATCATAATATTGCAAGAAACAGACCTGTCAAAATAGAAAGTTACATAATCATGTACCGGGCCCACGAGCTAGAGGGACGGTAAGGTAAGTAAATATAAATAGAGTATAAGGAAACGTCTTGAATTTGGAAATGATCACAGTTTACATAATAGCCTAATGTAGACAGCTGAAGTTGTGCAAATGAAGTGATAAAACTTGTACTCACAAATCGAGCGGGTAAAAGAATAGAACCACATATTTTCCTGGAGAAAAATGCAAGAAAAATAAACGRTTAATTTTGCGATATTATTAATTACAAAAGCAAAGATTTCTAAAGTGAAAATCTTGAAGATCAGCTTAAAAAGTACCTTTGTAGTCTGAGAGTTTGACGTCGACGAATTCACCATGTTTGTTGACGGCTGTGCCTGCAAATGGTGGGGCAGGTTTTTGGATCACGGCTTTGCTCATCTCGGCGGCTCTGCAGGGAGAAAAATACTTTAAAATCAAAATAATAGATCTACTCTGTTTTAAAACGACGTTGCATATTCATTCAGGTAGGATATTTACTTGGTAAATCGAGAAAAAGGAGAATATTATTGCTCAACCCTTGCTGCAACGTGGAGACGAACAGACGAAAGTGTGATATTACACACGTGATATGAGGCTATTTATAGTAACAACGATAGTACCCAGTTCTTCACGGCTAGGGGCAAGACATTCAGTAACTTTCCTGGGCTAAATRCAAGTTCATTGATTTATAGATTTACTTATAACAGGGTTTGCCCCGAGAAATAAATGTAAAATTACTGAAGTGTTTTTAAAGAGGAGCATTCAAGGACTCCAAAACAAATTTTCAAGTATTAATTATTTGAGTTACTAAGGTGTAGAGGATGTTTCATAAAAATGCAAACTCAAATCCAAGCACATGGTTGAATTACTAAACGGTGCCTATTATATTTCATTTATAGGAGAATAAACATTTTAATAAATGCTTTATTTGTAATAATTATATCAGACGTTCGATAGATATTGAGATCATTTTGTGGCTTATATATCTGGGAAAAGCTTTAAAAAAGATTGTTGACAAGAAACATTGGAATCACTTATAGAACGCACGAGAACTGTAATTTGAGCCTGATGTTACCATTAAACTACTAGATAGCCATCGTCATTTTCTTKTGGGAATAAATAGATATGTTGAAGGGCAATYGGCCAATAGACTACCGACAAACAAAWGAATTGTGATTGACAGCAGTGCAATGACTGATTTCCCTAGTGCCAATAGATCTTTCCTGAATTTGCTTGGATGGCCGCGAAACAATGGTTTGAAGTCAAGGCTGAACTTGATATTTTTGTTCATCAAGTCCAACCTCAACTTGAAACCATTGTTTTGCGACCAGTCAAGCGAATTCGGGAAATATCTATTGTGACTGTTGTCTTTTCTCTGGACCTCTCTTGCACATAGCAATGAAAACACAGTGGCAAAATAGCACAAGACTTTGACAAGAGTTCAATACAATGCAGTATACTGCAGGTACGTCAGCTGATGACGTAGCCACAATTTGTTTATAGCTTTGTACGATACTTTTCATCTGGTACAATAATTCTAGTTATTTCTAATCTTAGTAGGTGACAATTTCAATGGTATATTTGCTGGGTTATTAACAAGGTTTTGTATTTATTTTCTCRTCATTAACAATACACAAAACGAAAAATAATTATGAAACAGGAAGTCCTTATAATGAGCTGTTAACGATTACGCTTATTTTAATACTACTTTATTCTGYAATACTGTCTATCATGGGCTACGATAAAGCCTATATTTGGGCAACAATTAAATATATAGTATTGTATAATATACAATACACATTGTTGACAGCATCAAAGAGAGAAATATAGCATCATAATAAAGAATTTTCGTGAGAAGTTTTGAGAAGAGAGTTAAGCTAGTCGAACAAAACACGTGTACGAGTCGAATTTAAGCTTGGATTTTTAGAATTCACTTACCTACTCAATGACAGCATCCTCCTCGTGAAGTGATAGAGAGGAGCAGCATTTTGGGGTTTGGATAGCAGTATTTTTCTGCTGCAGATTTGTGTTATTTGGGGTGCTAGTCGTCCAATCAGTCTGGCAGCCATCTTGGAAATGGAGACAATGTCCGACCGCGTTAATTATGCACAAATGCTAGGACTGGGACAGATTTTAGTGGCAACCTCTCATGACATGGAAAATGAAAAAATGAAATATGAAATGAAGAAAAAAAATGGATTGCAAAACCCTCCCAATCGAAAATTCAAGGGTTTTTTCTGGGAGGGGGATTGACAGTAAGAAAGATTTTTTTTTACTTTCTTGGTGGAGAAAGCTTCTCGTGGTTGAATGGAAAATGGAAAAACCAAAGCTGGTCAGGACAAACCCTGTTATTTTGTGCGGCGACATGAGGACACCTTTAATGCGTTTAGTTCTTGATTGAAGAAAAAAGGATGCGACTAAGATTCTAAATGCACTCGAGCTCAAAAGAGCAGAGGAATGGCAACGTCAAGCTCCGGAACGAGAGTTTTATTCCTTAGGAAGATATCCCGTATCCACGTTTAGGACTAGCACCGAGTGTCATGTAGTCTCCCTCGCATCCGTTTTTAGTGTCGTGCAATTTGCCATCCTCACACCACCCCTGAGAGGACGCAAAAACATTCCCCGCTGATAAAAAGCTACAGAAACGATGGCCCATAAGTAGGGTTGTCCATAATGGACTTGCAGCAAGTTTGAGTAGTTGCATGATAAATTGCTGCAAATAAGAAACAAGTTGCTGCATGTAGATGTGATTTAATGTGACAAGTTGTTGCAAATAAGAGACGAGTTGATGCATGTTAGACGAGTTGCTGCATTTTAAAACGATAAGCACTGAAGGGGTGCAGGGGGTGCGCACCCCTCCCTGGTTCGACTTTGTGCCCCTATACTTCGAAGGTAACCAATACAAAATAATGTTTTTTTCCCTTTGATTCTAAGGGGTGCACCCCTCCCTGGGTTAACTTCGTGCGCAGTACTTCTCCCTGAACTAATTCCTGGATCCGCCCCTGRAATACGCGACTCTATTCGTAGTACATGGCTTAGAAAAGTTGCTCATGATTGCAGCAGGCCGCGGGTAACTAAAATGAATTGTAAAAAAAGAAAAAGGAAAAAAAAAAAAA